AGACCCATCGTTTTTTCTTGCCGGCTCGTCACTCACCGCCGCTGCCGCTGCCGCTGCCTCCGCCGCTGCCTCCGCCGCCGTTCGCTGTAGCTGTTCTCTAAATCTCGTCCCGACAAGTCGTCTCTAGGTAAATAGTAAACCATCTTCGTTGTTTCTCTTCTATCGATGTCGACTGAAATTGGTTGCGATGATTTTTGAATGAAATCGAAATTTTGATTGGGAGTCTGGGAGTTTGGATCGTATTTTCGCGCGGTTCGGTAGGTCTCCACACATTCGGTTCGGTCCCAGAGTTGAATGGGCGAACCCAACCGAACCAATTTCCAGTGCAGTTTCCGGAGGGTTTAAGCTTCCAAAACCATATTGTTTTCGTTCTGCTTTAGCAAGTTTTCTTTAAGGTCGATTGTTTATCCATTTGTCCGCCCAGCTCAGCTATCTTTGGCTATCCACCGTTTTCTTCCACTGGTAGCTCGCCCCTTTTCGACAATAAATCTGGGGAAGCTCTTTCTTGGGCTTGATTAAATTGTGCTTACTAATTCTTATGAGGAGCCCCCTTGTGGTTTCGGCTGCAATTTTTCTTTTTATATTCTTTTTCGTTTGGAGTTTTAGCCTTGTTTTGGTCTCTTATTTGTTGTAATTGAACTTCTTATAATTGTGTTCTAACTATTTTTTTTATGGACATTGTTTGTCAGAAGCGCTTGGGGAAGCAGCAAGGCCATTTATGGCTTATTCTGGTGGACATGACTTCTTGTTTTGCAACTTGTGTGGAACCATGTTGTCATTCAGCTCAACGAAATATGTAGAGTGTCCTTTGTGCAAGTCTAGGCGAAGTGCAAAAGGTGAACATACACATCGGAGTTAATCTTATTCACTTTTAGTTTTTCATTTTGGGTAATTTAAACATTCGAGTACACATTACTTACATGAATGAGTGCTTAATTTGTAGTCTAGTTCACTTTTTTCTTCATGTTTATGTAGCTAAAAATGTGAAAAGCATGATTATTTTGTCATTTTCTATCTCAAGTTTCGATTTTCCTTTTTAATCTTTTTACTAGAACTGAGTTGTGCAGGTTGGTTTTTCTTTAATCTATCAACTTAAATTTAAGATGATTTTGGTAGTATAATTTTTATTCTGCTCACAAACGTTTATCAAGAATTTTATAAGGGCCGATAGTTAGGGAGGATTATGGGTCCTATTGTCTTACACTTCCTTGGCTTCATTCTCCTTTGCCATAAAGGTTATAAGTCTCGGTTATATTCACACCAAGAATTCCTTTCTTAGAGAAGCCTAGATTGTTGACATGGTATCATGCTCGAAAGAGAGAATATCCCAAGTTTTGGGGAAGAACTATGGAAAAACCATCTGGACCCGTAGCTTGGCCTTGACTAAGACTAGAAATAGCCCTTGGAACTTTATGCTAAATAAAAGCCTGCGGCATATGTTATTCGGCTGTAGAGATAGAATTCCAACACAGACGGTGGAAGATTGTGTGGTCCTCTCAGAAAGACTTAGTGAGGTAGACTGCTGGGGTTTTGACAATTGGAGCCCTCAAATTCAGAAGGAAGCTGATCATGATTTTGAAAGCTTGTTCTTCAAACTAGCAAGATGGACCTTCGAAATTTTGATTTGATTTCAAACCAAATGTTGTAATAGACTAATAACAATGAAGGCTGCGTGTGAAAAATGTTTCTTTAGATTTGGCAGATGGAACCTCTGCCTTCTCATACCTGAGCTTGCTTACAATTACATGAAGAAATTGTAATTACAATTACCTGAGTTCTCTGAGAGTTCTTTCAAATGAAATCAATGATTTCTTGACCACAATTACATGAAGAAAGTGAGATAGCTATAACAATGTCTGTGGAACCAAGTACTAAGTACTAACAGCTAACCAGAGACTGAAAATTATAGAACTCATTACAATTCTCAGGCTGGTTAGTCTTATGCAAGGGCCCAAGTGCCATCATGATTTCCCTGAATATTGTTCTATGCATCTTGAAGTTGGTTTTCTGAAGGATATATATATGTATCAAATCATTTTAAAATTTGTGGGCCTTGCTTTATTTTTAATGGTTTTGTTGAAAGAACTATGCATCTTATCATCTTTGCATATTGAAATTGAATCATGATTTGAGGCATCGAAGTTGTGCAAATGCAGTTGAGAAGCTATTCTTATAATATTTCATGCACTCTTTTAGTAAATATCTTTAACCTGCGTGTTGTGCGCGGCTTATTTCAGAGATCGTCGGCAGAGAAATAAGTTACACAGTTACTGCTGAGGTATGTCTCTTGAAGCATAAACATTATCATCCCCATGCTTGTTCTATTTCTAGCTCTAAGACATCCCAGCAACATGTCATTCCTATGCTTTTGAACTTTAGGATACTCTGAAAATTTGCTAAGATTGTTTCTGGATGAATTTACCTATATGATGATTCTCCACGCTCGGCAGATCAATAAGCCTACCTAACCCCTGAAATTCATTTTGGGTCGATATCCTCTTGCGGTGAAAAGTTTTAGTATAAGCAAAAGTTCATATGATCTAATCTTGATAAGACCCCTTCTATTTGATTGCCAGACATCCAAGAAATGATTTAGTTTTTGAAATCTTCGTGTGACGATTCGCAGGAAATTAGAAAGCAGTTGGGAATTTCATTGATTGATGAAGAGAAAATGCAGCTATCAAAGGTAGTAGGAGAAAAAGAAGTGTATGGTACAAGTATTCTGCTTGAAACGTGTAAGTAGTAGGCACTAATATGAAGCTGCCATGTTTGACAGGAAAGGAGGAGATGTGAGAAATGTGGGAATGATGAAGCTTGGTTTGAGAGCAGACAGGTACTTTTCATACCAACTCATAAGCCCCCGCCCTTTAGGCTCTCTCTTTTATTCCCATTGGAAAGAGTCCCAAGTTTGAGTGTGGTTTCAATAAAAATGCAGATGAGATCGGCTGATGAAGGGCAGACCACCTTTTATACCTGCACCAAGTGCCATCATCAGACCAGAGAGAATTGATCCTCCACATAACATTATAAAATATGTATGCTTCACCATAGTTCGTCTTTTATTCTTTAGGGGGCAGCAAAGTCCTTGAGTTAGGATAGCTCTAACGCCGTCCAAAAGCTTAAATTTGACGAATTTTGTTCATTACGACGATCTCGCTCTAGATGAAGTAATTTTATTTTTAGTTTTCTGTTTAACAAGTATGCTTATTCGTTTTTTTTTTTTTAATGTTTATTCATTTTTGTGTTGTTCGATGCTAAATTTACCCTGATAAGTTTAAGTTTTTTATGAATCGACATTACTATTTGAGGAAGTTGAGAAAACTCAAAGCTTTGAAGGTCTACTTGTTCGAGGGCTCAAAGGGTACACTTGTTCGAAGACTCAAAGGGTACTTCCTGGATGCCTTGCAAGTGATTCATCCTTTGTGTTTGCTCAACTTCCTTAAACCCTTCGATAACAGTCCTCGTTGCTGGGACCTTCTTGATCACAAATCCCTTCCCGCATCTTTGTGGATGCGGGCTCAAAGGGTACACTTGTTCGAAGACTCAAAGGGTACTTCCTGGATGCCTTGCAAGTGATTCATCCTTTGTGTTTGCTCAACTTCCTTAAACCCTTCGATAACAGTCCTCGTTGCTTGGACCTTCTTGATCACAAATCCCTTCCCGCATCTTTGTGGATGCGGGCTCAAAGGGTACACTTGTTCGAAGACTCAAAGGGTACTTCCTGGATGCCTTGCAAGTGATTCATCCTTTGTGTTTGCTCAACTTCCTTAAACCCTTCGATAAAAGTCCTCGTTGCTGGGACCTTCTTGATCACAAATCCCTTCCCGCATCTTTGTGGATGCGGGCTCAAAGGGTACACTTGTTCGAAGACTCAAAGGGTACTTCCTGGATGCCTTGCAAGTGATTCATCCTTTGTGTTTGCTCAACTTCCTTAAACCCTTCGATAAAAGTCCTCGTTGCTTGGACCTTCTTGATCACAAATCCCTTCCCGCATCTTTGTGGATGCGGGCTCAAAGGGTACACTTGTTCGAAGACTCAAAGGGTACTTCCTGGATGCCTTGCAAGTGATTCATCCTTTGTGTTTGCTCAACTTCCTTAAACCCTTCGATAACAGTCCTCGTTGCTGGGACCTTCTTGATCACAAATCCCTTCCCGCATCTTTGTGGATGCGGGCTCAAAGGGTACACTTGTTCGAAGACTCAAAGGGTACTTCCTGGATGCCTTGCAAGTGATTCATCCTTTGTGTTTGCTCAACTTCCTTAAACCCTTCGATAACAGTCCTCGTTGCTGGGACCTTCTTGATCACAAATCCCTTCCCGCATCTTTGTGGATGCGGGCTCAAAGGGTACACTTGTTCGGACCTTCTTGATCACAAATCCCTTCCCGCATCTTTGTGGATGCGGGCTCAAAGGGTACACTTGTTCGAAGACTCAAAGGGTACTTCCTCTTCCCGCATCTTTGTGGATGCGGGCTCAAAGGGTACACTTGTTCGAAGACTCAAAGGGTACTTCCTGGATGCCTTGCAAGTGATTCATCCTTTGTGTTTGCTCAACTTCCTTAAACCCTTCGATAAAAGTCCTCGTTGCTTGGACCTTCTTGATCACAAATCCCTTCCCGCATCTTTGTGGATGCGGGCTCAAAGGGTACACTTGTTCGAAGACTCAAAGGGTACTTCCTGGATGCCTTGCAAGTGATTCATCCTTTGTGTTTGCTCAACTTCCTTAAACCCTTCGATAACAGTCCTCGTTGCTTGGACCTTCTTGATCACAAATCCCTTCCCGCATCTTTGTGGATGGATTTCGACGAGATGTGACATACAAGGGTTGTTGAAGTGCTCTAAAGGAGTTGGGCCTCGAGTTCGAGGGTGTCGAATCAAGGAAGTTGTTATTTGGTTTGAAGGCTCCAAAAGGAGTTAAGAGCCTCACAATCAAAGGGAGGTTACTTATTCGAGTGTTTCGAGTCTCATATTAGCTTCTAATTAACAAAATATAAAATATATATAAACATAAACAAACTAATGTACTACCTTCTTTATTGGACTTACACAAACCCTAATTGCTATAATAAACATAAAGCAATCTCCTTAGACCAAAAAATGCAGGCGGAGATTTCAGGATTTGGTCTGTGCACCTCCATTTTCATAAAAACCAAGGAGGTCATCAAACCCTTACAAAAACAGGAACAAAAATTAGCCGGAAAGTTCAACTAAACCACTAATTATACTACAATTCTTCATCGGAGGCGCAATAATCGCCTGAGGTTGTCGGTTGCTCCGGCATCCACTCCGGCGGCCTCCACATTACAACTCATCTCCCGCCTGAGAGTGAATTTCGGAAGCGGAACGCTACTTGGCGGCGGCGAAACGCCGAACGCTGACCCCGAAAATTCTGTCTCAAAACGCCGGCCACCTTCTCTCGGCGGCGCCGACGACCGTAATCCTAAAACTCTCCATAAATCTTTAGGTACGTGGCTCGGCTCCGGCCCCAGTCGATTCGTGGAATCAACGATCATAAACTCCGCCGTCGATTTCAACGCCGGAGGCCCTCTACTTCGTTTAATTGGTTTTGATTTTTTTGGGGTAAGAGACTGATCTCTGGATTTCGTACCCTTTGGGCGGCACGACGGCGGGGCCCCGACTGCCGTAGGGGGAAACGGACGGCGGGGCAGAGGGAGGAGAGGCGGTTGCTGGCGGAGGCGGTGACTATAATTTGGGACGGCCGGCGGAGGGACGTTGAGAAGACCGTCGTGGACGGTGGCCGGAAAGAAATTTCGGGATTTTAAACTGCGAGATCTCTCAGCAGAAAATGGAATCAAAACTCCCTCCATTGCTGCAATTCACAAAGATCTGAACCTGAAAAATTCAAAACTCTATCAAATACACAAGATCAACAAGCTACAGTTACACAGAAAAAAAAAAAAAAAACAGAGTCCCAATTGAAACTAAAACTTCTGAAATTTACAACAAATTCGCAAAAAGATTGAATTTTGTGAAGAATTTCGTATGGATTTGAACAAACAAAAACTGGGATTTCTTGTAAAACATAAAAAAAATACAACCCAGAATCGAAAAAGTTAAAAAAACAAATATTTGAATGGATATTATGGGATTTTCAGCAACCCATTTACAGAGGATTTTGGAGAGTCTTTGTTAGAGAAGATTTCATGGGTTTTTTGCTTCGGATTCATCTCTTTATAGAGCTTTGATGTTTCTTGGACGGCAACGGCTACTTTTTTTTTAATTATATTAATTTGGAGATATTTTTAGTTCTTTATTTACCATTGGAAAATGGGGAATTAACGACAGGATTTGCAGAGCCACCGTCTAGGTCGGTTACCGTCCGTTTGATTATGGCCGTTGGTTATAGCCGTTGGACCCAATCTGACCGTTGATCTCATCTTCATCATCCTCGGTTTCTCAATTTTTTTTTTTGCATACGTATTTTGTACGACATTGTGGGACCCATATATTTCCTTTAAATTAATTTTCTTTTATATTTATTTTAATATTTACATTCTCCGAATTAACCTTTAAAAAAAAACCATCCTTCTCCTTTTCTGTTTCCTTTTTGGTCATTTTACAAGTTCTTTTTCCTATTTTACATAAAAAAATTTACTTAAAAGTAAAACCTAATTTCAATTTTTTTATCCAACTCACTAATTTTAAAATTATAAATTTACCCTTTTTAATTTTACCATTTTTAAAATTTACACATTTACATGCCACAAAATATAAATTTTTTGATCCATTAAATGTAAAATTAAATTTCTTTGAAATTTGAAATTTTCAAACCAAACAAAAAAAAATTAAAAGTAAGACTAAAACGATCGAATTTTGACCTAAAAAAAAAAAAGAGTTAAAAACGATGTAGCAAACGATTCTACGAGAATCTTATTTTTAATGAATAAGATGGAAAAACTTTTTTTAATATAATAAAAAAAAAACGGATAAATTAATAAATTTTAAAATTTTAAAACTTTACTAATTAGAGTCGTCAGCATTAAAGTTAGAATATTTTATTAAATTATTAAATTTGTCATCACAAAAAAGTAGAGCTTGCTTTAACCTACTTTGATCACCTTTTTTATCACCTTTCTTATGCATGAAGGATGCTATAAATAATGCCAGATATGTCATTGAATGTGATTCAATACGCATCGATAAAATATTTGGTTCGTCAACCTACGATTCTTGTTGAACAATTTTACTATCGAACGTCGTGTAGTAGAGCTGCTAAGGTAGCCGATACATTGACATGTAAGCTTTTATTAGCATACTATCCTCGAAAAATTTCTCGAGTACTCGAGAGGTACTCGAGAGGAGCGGGACGGTTGCCACGTAGGAATGTAAACTTTATTAGCATATGCAAGGGCGGTGGGTCCCATGGTTTCAATTATTAGTTTCCATTTCTCTTTTTTATTTTATTATTACCCATATATTTGTTTATGGACACGTGAGAGTCACGCGCTCCCTAAAGAAGATCACCAACTTTGGAGTGTAACTTTGTTGGGCTGAAAGTGGAGTGGGCCCAGGCCCACTATGCATTTGTAATGTAGCCCATAAAGCAAATAATTGCTAATTATGGAACCTTTAAAAATGGGAGCATACTTCCAAAATTCCAACTCAAAGTGGTTGAAGCAGATGGTGACCACTCCAGCACTCACACGTGGCAGACACTATTACTTCTGCTTTTTATTTTCTTTTTCTTATTTTCCCATCCAAAATCAAATGCTTTCTATTTTTTATTTTTTATTTTTTATTTTTATTTTCCCCTCTGGCCCACACTTAAATTCCTTGTTATCCAAAGGGGATAATCTTAATTGTCTTTATTATTATTATTATTATCGTCTTAATTTTTAAATTCAATCCATTTTTATTAATTATCATTATCATTTTTTTTCTCAACTTATTTTTTTCAAAATATATATATATATATATATATATATATATATATATATATATATATATATAAATTAAATAACAATAATTTATATTAAAGATGCGAAAGAACGAGATTTTTAAAATATAGTCATTATTAAGTAACGATTTTGAAATTAGGTCAAATTTAGTCGGAGCATAAATAGACAATGAAAAAGGGACAGACATCAATATAAATGAAAGAGTATGACCACGTAGACATGACACATTTTTTTATGACTAGAATAAGAGAAATATAGTAATTATGACGTGACAACCATTATTTTGGTTCATTTTTTAAATTATAATAATTTAAAAAAAGTTATAAAAATAAATAAAGCATAAATTATGAGTTCGGAAGAAAAAAAAAGTTGAAAAGTAAATTGGGAATTAAATAGAGAAAAATAGGTACAAAAAGTGAACTTAAGGGCATTTCCGTAATTTCACTCGTTATAAACTAAAAAAAATACAAAATAAAAAACTAATATTCAAACCCATCCATTAATTAATATAAGGGTCAATTAGAAAGGGGATAAATTAATAATAATAAAAAATGGATGTTTTTTTAACCTCTGATATGGAAAATAAAACAACCACCAGAAGTTGTAAAATTACATATTTAACCTTTTTTAGATTAAAAAAAAAACGTTATAAGAAAAGGACATATTTTTCTTTAATAACTGTGTGGCCCAAAAAATATCATTATTTATATTATAGTCACAAATTATTAATCTCGTCCATTCTACTTGTCGGCAAGAAGATTACAGATTCGGACAAAATCGTAATTTGAGCGTCCACCACACGACGTGTCGTCAACGTTTATGATCAATACGAACCATAAACTACCCATACTTTTATCGGATATTAATTTATTTAAAAAATAATGAAGATATTTTTAATTATTTAAAATAAGATCATCCATAGTAAATGTCAAAATATATAAAATATCGTCCACGTGTCCTAACATGGTTTGATTGTGGTAGGGAAAAAGACATTATATTACTTGTTTAATTATTTAATTACTGATTTATTAAGAAATTCTTTATTTATTTTTTTTTCTTTTATGATATCTATACTTTTTTAATCATAAAAGATTTTATTATTAATGTTTTAAAATTCTCAAATTTAACATTTATACATTAAATTGGGGTAAAAACCACCCTTAAATTAATAAATTAATTTTATTTTTAAAGATTTAAACGCTTTATTAAAACAAATACCAATTTATTTTTTAAAATTAAAGGTAGAATTAAAAATTTTAAAATATTAAGGATGAATTTGAAAATTACATAAATGATTAGGGACGATTTTGAATATTTAACTGGATCTAGGAACTTTCATAATTTTTTTGTTTCACACTCCTTTTCGAAACTGTCATTAGACGCAAATAGAAAGCCAACAATGGAACCTTGACATCAGTCGAACGAAAATTGGTCGGGAGTGGAACAATTTTTAGGTGTCGGTTGACAATCATACATGTTAAAACCATCATAGTGTCGAAAAGTATCAATTTTTTCACGTGCATGCTTCAAACGTTCAATTGGGGTTTCAATTTTAAGTACGTACGTACACTGCAATAGACTCTTTTTCTTCGAAATTCAAATTCGAGTATAGGATATGAGTTAAATACCCTTTGTCTTAAGAGAGTCAACTAAACAAGAAAGAAAGGATTTTTTTTTCTTTTCTTTTTCCCTTTCTTTGGGAGTGAAAGGGAAGCTACCAAACCAAGAACATTTACTTTCTCTCCAAAAAAAAAAAAAAAAAAAAAAAAAAA